TTCACCCGGCTTCTTCAAGGGAGTTTCCCCTTATCCAGCAGCCTTTAAGGGACATTGCTTTGTCGATGTCCCATTTTTCCATAGCCATAGAATTCTTTCTAATTAGATTAGTTATATTAGTCTTATAGTCTTAGTTTTAGTATTAGTTAGTGATCCCGGCTCGGCGAGTCCTTTCTTCCGTGATGAACTGTTGGCACCAGTCCTACATTTTGTCTCTGTGGACCGAGGAAAAAAGGGGCTCCGCGGGAAGAGGGTTGTACCATGAGAGAAGCAAGGAGGTCAACTGCTTCAAATATACAACATGGATTCTGGCAATGCAATGGAGTTGGACCCTCATGTCGATCCGAATGAACCTCATATTCAACTTGCTGATAAAATTTCTGATTCATTCCATTATCCCATATTCCCTCCTGAAGCTTGTTGGCAAGATTTATATGGACACAAACGCGATCATATTCTCGCCGCCCCCAATTACCTATCTGCGCATCAATCCATAATGGAATCCCAATCTTTGAAGAAATTCTTGAGATGTTACAGGAATCCCAATAATGTAAGGGGAGATTGGGAAGGCAAATCCAAATAGGGGAGGATAGACCTTCCATAGATGTCGGAGAAAACCAAGGTGTCCATCGATCCAATCCCACAATATTTCCACCAATAAACCAAGGGCCACAGCACAAAACAGCGTCCCTAGCTTCAATAGAAGAGAATATGCAAACAAAGCATTCAAATCCCAAAGTAGTAAGCTGGAACTCACCGAAGCGTCCCCACTACCACTGGATCTCAAATTTCAACATAAAGTAAGAAACTCGTCTCCCCAATATCTTCCCGACAACAGCTCTATCAAGCATTGTCACATTGGCCTTAACCAATTCCATGTTGAGATCAATAGAAATTCCATTCGATGAGATAGCATTTATCTCTTCCGGATGAGGGTTCGGGATGTGATCCATCTCTTCTAAGGATTACCAGTACCAACAGAGAACAAGGGACTTCTACTCACCGCATTCCCTTCGATCTTCCTTTGATTTGTAGAAGTACTTTTTGAAGCAACATTTCCACAAACATTTTGAGTGCTATTCAGAGAACTGGCTAATTCAGGAGAACCAGTCTCTACACCATTCACCCCTATCATCTCAACAGCAGCTAATTCGATCTCTGGAACAGCTATGATTCCGTCCCTACCAGCATTGTCATCAGCGACAATATTCAGATCGTTCTAAGTAGTGCTCACCTCCATCAAACAATCTGCTCCGGGTATCATCTCGTGGCTCAGATCCGCTTGCTCTGGGATAATCTCCATCGATCTATCCCGTCCAGGCATTGCAACATCCACATCGAACATCTCCTCCATACCGGCCATACCCTCCAACATAGCCTGTAATTCCTCCATCTCCATGGATGAATCCACCCCATTGAACGTCAGATTAAGCATCATGCTTACTTCCGCAGTCGGCATCAGCTCCATTCTTGACTTAGGAGGAGAATTCTCCACCTTACTCAATACCGTTCGCAACTGAATACCGCCGTTCTTAACAACCTACTACTGCAACTTAGCTACCAAGTTGTGAGGCTTGACCTCCCATTGACCTTCTGCAGATCCATCCGATCTAGATTTCACCGCATCCCTACTATTCCCTTCCATCTTATTCGCTGAAATCAATTCAAGAGACCGATCTCCTGATTTCTTCGAACCTCTAGATCAAACTCCTGATCATCTTCTCTCACCTCTACCAGCATTGCCATCACCACCGCCCCGCTCGGGCGAGAGAGAGAGAGAGAGAGAGAGAGAGAGAGAGAGAGAGAGAGAGAGAGAGAGAAGAGCAAGCAAGAGAGAGAGGGATAAAGAGAGAGAGAGAGTAAGAGAGAGAGGGAGAGAGAGAGCAAGAAAGAGGGAGAGCAAGAGAGAGAGAGTGAAAGAGAGATATATATATATATATATATATGGAAATTAAGATATATATAGAGAGAGAGAGAGAGAAAGAGAGAGAGAGAGAGAGAGAGAGAGAGAGAGAGAGAGATAGAAAGAGAGAGAAAGAGAGAGATAGAAAGAGAGATAGAAAGAGAGTGAGAGATAGATAGATAGAGATAGAGAGAGGGGGAGAGAGAGAGGGAAAGAGAGAGAGCAAGAGAGAGGGAGAGCAAGAGAAAGAGAGATGGAGGAAGGGCGAGATATATATATATATAGAGAGAGAGATAGGTAGAGAGAGAGATAGGTAGAGAGAGAGAGAGCAAGCAAGAGAGAGAGAGGAAGAGAGAGATAGCTAGCAAGAGAGAGAGAGAGAGATAGCAAGAAATAGAGAGAAGAGAGAGAGAGAGAAAGAGAGAGATGGACAGAGAGCAAGAGAGAGAGTTGAAGTTGCATTTGCATTACACAAAAAGAACGGTTACAAAGGAATTAGCCACTATTACAATCTACTTGCAACAAAGATACAAGGGTTGAGGGAATGTCCCCCTCAGCAGTACCCCAAAAAACAAAATCTCCAAAAATAACAAGGTTTGCACAAAAATCAGCAGGGCGATTGTTGTCTCTCAAAGTGTGCCTAAAGAGCACCTGCTTGAAATTCATCAGGAAGGAGAAATTCGGACCTTCGAAGTTGTAGTGGCCCTTAAACTTGCGGTCCTGTAATTTCTGGAGCCAGCCAATCGCATTGACGCAGTCCCCTTCAATGATAATGCCGTCCAAGTCAAGCTTCCAGTCCCGGATCACCATTTGAGTGACAGCAGTCGCCCGGACCTCCGCCTGGAAGGGGTCCCAGTGCTCAATCCTTCTGCCGGCTGCCGTAATCAGCACCCCCTCATGGTTACGAACCACCACACCAATCCCAGCAAGATTGAAAGGCTTGAGTGCAGCATCGACATTAAACTTTAACCAACCTGGGGGGCACCAAGTCGTCCGAGTAGGCAACCCAAAGGGCTGAGTAGTGCTCCAGTGCTCCAAAGTCGGTGTCCGGTAATGTTTCGGCAACAGGGAAAGAACCGTAGCAGCAATAGACAGCGGCGAGCGGTTGGTCCTGATGTGTTTAAAATCATTTCTAGCTCTCCACACCTGATACACCGTATAGCAGTAGATTTGTCCCAAGTTCAGGTTCAAAGAAATCAGCCCAGACAACAGTTCCATCACTTCATCAAGTGAGTCAACCAACGGCAAGGTGAAACCCCATTTGTCAAGTATTAAGAGAACGTCCCGCAGCTTGTTGCACTAGGCCACACAGTGGTCAATGGTTTCCATGCCGGAGCATCCCCACGGGCTGTCCGAGGAACTTGACAGCCCACGACGAGAGAGCAAGAGAGAGAGAGTGAGAGAGATAGAATAAGAGAGAGAGAGAGAGATAGCAAAAAAGAGAGAGAGGAGAGAGAGAGAGAAAGAGAGAGATGGAGGAAGAACAAGAGAGAGAGAGAGAGAAAGCAAGAGCAAGAGAGAAAGAGAGAGATGGAGGGAGAGCAAGAGAGAGATAGAGATAGAGAGAGCAAGAGCGAGCGAGAGAGAGAGAGAGAGAGAGAGAGAGGGAGAGAGAGAGGGAGAGGGAGAGAGAGAAGAGCAAGAGATGGAGGGAGAGCAAGAGAGAGGGAGAGAGAGAGAGAGAGAGAGAGAGAGAAATGGGGAGAAGGAGAGAGGGAAAGAGAGAGAGAAAAAGAGATAGTAAGAGAGAGAGAGAGAGAGAGGAAGAGTAAGAGAAATAGAAAGAGAGAGAGAAAGCGAGAGCGAGAAAAAGGGAGAGAGAGAGCAGGACAGAGGGAGAGAGAGCAGGAGAGAGGGAGAAAGATGGAGGGAGAGAGAGTGTGTGAGAGCAAGAGAGAGAGATGGAGATTAAGATAGAGAGAGAGATGGAGAGAGATATAGAAAGATAGAGAGAAAGAGAGAGATAGCAAGAGAGAGAGAGAGATAGAGAAAGGTGGAGGGAGAGCTAGAGAGATAGAGAGATAGAGGGAGAGAGAGAGAGGTAGAGAGAGAGCAATAAAGAGAGAGAGAGAGAGGGAGAGATAGCAAGAGCGAGAGAGAGAGAGAGAGAGAGAGAGAGAGAGAGAGAGAGAGAGAGAGAGGAGCAAGAGAGAGAGGGAGAGAGAGAGAGAAGAGAAAGAGAGGAGCTAGAGAGAGATAGAGTGAGATTGAGAGGAGCTAGAGAGAGATAGAGTGAGATAGAGAGAGATAGAGAGACACACTGAGAGAGAGAGAGAGGAGAGAGCAAGATATAGGGAGAGAGAGAGAGAGAGAGTGAGAGAGATAGAGATAGAGAGGAGAGAGCAAGAGATAGGGAGAGAGAGAGAGAGCGAAAGAGAGAGAAAGAGAGAGAGAGAGAGGGAGCAAGAGAGCCAGAGAGAGAGAGATAGATAGAGAGAGAAAGATAGCAAGAGAGAGAGTGTGTGTGAGCTAACAAGAGAGAGAGAGAGCAAGAGAGAGAGCAAGAGAGAGAGAGAGAGGGAGGGAGAGAAAGAGTGTGAGAGACAGAGAGACAGAGGGAGAGAGAGATAGAGAGAGAGAGAGGGAGGGAGGGAGAGAGAGTGAGGAGAGTAAGAGATAGTGAGAGAGAGAGAGAGAGCAACAGAGAAAGAGAGAGGAGAGAGAGAGCTGAACGTCTGCTTTTGCATTAAAATGAAGAAAAACTAGTTACAAGTAAAAACATCAACTATAAATCTATATCCTATCACTCTCATCCCTTGCCAACGACAAAAGTGCTAAAGGGAATTCCTGATTATTCACATAAAAAAAACTAAAGTTACCAGCTAAAGCAAGATGGGCATAGTAATCAGCTGCATAATTACTGGCCCGAGGTATAAATTGAAACAACACCTTTTTAAACTCCATCAAGATTGATAGATCCGGTCCCTCCACCCTACGGTGTATTGGATGTTGTCGGTCATTCAAGTTCTACATCCAGCGAGTTGCATTAACTGAATCCCCTTCAATAATGATCCCATCCAAATCTTGCATCCCATCCAAAAGAAACTCTCAGATAGAACCCGCAGCCAAGATTTCAGCATGTAGCACATTCCAATGCTCAAGTGCATCTCCCAGCAGAAAACACTAGTTTACCAAAATGATCTCGTACAATCATCCCTAGACCAGCCTGATTAGAAGGCATTAATGTTGCATCAAAATTATATTTAAGCCAACCTGGAGGGTGTGGGCACCAAAGTTTAAGAGGCATCCTAATAGGCTGGTTAGTACTCCATTGCTCCAAGATTGGCCACTTGAACGGTTTGGGTAACAGAGAAAGCACAGCAGCAGCAATCACAGATGGGGATCTACACATCTGGTGATGTTTCATGTCATTACGAGCTCTCCAAACCTGGTAAACAGTATAACAATATATTCTTCCCATACTGGGGTTCTTATCAGCATACTTCAAGAGTTCCACAGTTAATTCCCCAAGAGAGTTCACTATGGGCAGAGCAAATCCCCATTTACACTATATCTCAAAAACCTGCTTCAATTTAGAACACTGGAAGTACAGTGATCTAAGGTCTCATCTTCATTACATCCCCACAGACAGAGAGAACTCTCAGCTAACTTCCTTCTACATAGCCAAACGGAGGTCGTCGGTATAGCATCACGAAGCAATCTCCACCAAAAGAAATTTCTTTCGGATGGAGTTTCTTAAGCCAACTAAACTGATACTCTCCCATACTGCCACTAGCCCATCACGAAGCAATGTAGAATCTCCACCAACTAAAAATTTATTTCAGATACTGTCTTCCCCACTTCCACTCAAAAGGTGAATGGTCGTGATCCGTTCAGCCTTGATTTTCCCAAAGCAATGCTCTACTTTAGCCTCATCCCACCATAAAGAATTATTCAACAGATTACCAATTTTCATACTTTCCACCTTCCCAATATCAACAAACGTAGGCCATTTAGCAATGTTGCGATCCAAGATTTGATTCCCATCATGGAGCACATCAATTTGATTCCCATTTCCTATGTTCCATCTAAGAATCGGTCTCAACACCTTAGCTCCATCCTGTATTACTTTCCGGGTTATAGAGACACTCTTCCCCTGCATCTCCACAAATTCATTCCATACTTCTCCATCAACACTTTATATAATAAAGAGTCCACATTCTATAGTAAATCTCATACCACATGAGCATGGAGAGCTCCCTTCCACCGAGTAAGACAATGAAACCCAAGACCTCCCAAGTTCGTCGGTTGGCACAGGTCCTTCCACCCAACATAATGCAGTCACGACTGTTAGCATCGTCTGCCAAAAGAAACGCCTACCCAACCATTCAGTAGCGTTCAATACTCCATTAGGAATAGAAGTATGAGTCATAACATACATGGGAACATATAGCATAGAAGTATTAATCAACAGAGCTCTGCCAGCTAGAGATAAGAATTTCTTCCCCCACAGATTAACCTTCTCATGCACAATCTTCAACAGAAACTAAATCAGCAGTAACAAGTCTTCACATTACCAGAGGGAGCCCAAGGTACTCTAAGGATTCAACCTTCCTGTATCCCATCATCCATGCACTCGTCCTCTTCTTCCAGTTTGGACACTTTCTATTAAACAAGATCGCAGACTTCTCACAATTGATCTTTTGGCCCGTCCAGCCACAATACTCGTCCAGCAACTCCATGATCTGTCTTGCATTTCATCTGCTGGCCTCTGCAAACACAAGAATATCATCATCATACATTAAATAAAAGATACTCACTATATTCATTGCCGCCTGGATCCCAAGGTAACCTCCCCGTTGCTTAAAAGCTTTGGTTAACAATTCAGAACAAAGTATAAATAGATAAGGTGACAAGGGACATCCTTGTCGAAGACCGCTTTTGGCATCAATCCACTGTGTCCTGTTTCCATCAATCAACAAAGTAAACTTCGGTCTTGTGATACACTGCATAACCCACATAATAAACCGATCTTTAAAGCCCATTAGAGTCATCACTTTCTGCAAAGTTTCCCACACCATACAATCGTAGGCTTGCTCCATATTGACCTTCAATGCCATCAATCCAGATTTTTGAGTAGAATGCTTAAACTTGCCCATCAACTCCTAAGCCATCAGCCCATGACTTGAAATCGATCTACCTGGAACAAAGGCTCCCTGTTCCTCACTGATAATGTTACTCAAAACAGGTTTAAGTCCACTAATCAAAATTTTAGCAATAATCTTGTAGAAAGATTGGCAAAGACTAATGGACCTAAACTTAGATGGAAAATTAGCATTGTCGATCTTAGTTATAAGGACCACCAAAGTTTTTTTCCAATTCTCATACATAGAATTAGTGCAGAAAAAGTAAAGAATAGCACGAGTAACATCATCTTTGATGATGTCCCAATAATATTTCAAAAATGAAGAATTAATACCATCCATCCCCAGTGCTCTATTGCTCCCCAAGCTAAAGATAGCATTCTGAACCTCCTGCACCGTAATATCATCTTCCAAACTGTCACATAATTGCACAGGAATTTTATCCTCCTCACAAAAGATTGGCTGGTTCTGCATAGCAACCTGTCTATCTTTCCATTTATGTACAAAAAAATTCCAGAATTCCTCCTGAATAAGTCTCTGTTCTAAAATTCTGTCTCCATTCGCATTATTAACCTCAATAATACGATTACTCCATCTGCGAGCTGAAGCAAATGAATGGAAGAAATGAGAATTTGTATCTCCTTCTTCAATCCATCTGGCCTTGGCTCTCTGCTTCCACCAAGTCACCAGCCATGCCAAAGTGGCATTCAGTTCAGCTGCCTTCTGCCGCAGCTCCTGTTCGTGTTCTTCTTCAAGCCAATCGAGGAACAGTCCAAAACTTGTAGCTCCTCGATCCGCCCCTTCATAGTAGTTTTCAATCCAATAAGTTCTTTTAACCTCTTACGGCTCCAGAAATACAAAGCCTTTAACATTCTGCTACACTTTCGATTGAGAATCTCATCAGGTTGCCCATAATCTTGCTTAACACAGTTCTTCCAAACCAATTTCCACATAAAAGGATAAGTCATCCATATGTCTTCAAACTGAATCCATTTACATCTAGTTCTCAGCATCACAGAGGTGAGCTTCAACAGTAACGAATAGTGATCTGAAGCAATACGATTCCAGTGTTTGATAGTAGCCAGAGGGGCCAGCCGAAGACCTTCAGAATTCATCAAAATTCTGTCAAGCAGAACCCAAACTTTGCTATTACCGTTCTTGTTGTTCGACCAAGTAAATTTAGGCCCCATCAAGCCCAAATCATGTAGATCATTATCCAAAAGAAATGTGTGCCCCCACGAAAAATTGTAACTCCTTCCACCCTTCTTCTCCTCCTGATTTGAACAACAATTAAAATCCCCCCCCCCCAACAATCACAGGGAGATCCATATTAACGCATGAACCAACCACGTTCCACAAGCTCCGCCGAGCATGATAATTTTTTTTAGCATATACCAAAGCAATAGTCCATCTTTGCAGGTTGGGAAACAACAACTGCCCAATAATGGCTTGATCCATCGTCAAAGTGACCTCAAATCGAGTCACATCCCGTCTCTATAAGGCAAGCAATCTGCTAGATCTGCTCGACGCTGAGAAATGAAAGAATTCCCAATCATTACCAATTAGCCTGTTCACCTCTTCTCTGCTACAGTTTTCCACCATATTTTCAACTAAACCAACAAAACAAACCTCGTTGTTGCCAACAAGTCTTTGCAGGTAGTACCTTGTATGCTTCTTATGGGCACCCCTATAATTCCAGATAATGATGGATGACATTAAACAACCAATGCGGAAGCATCACATAATCATCTAAGACCTCCTTCTTCCTCTTCCTCGGAAGCTCTTTAGTAGGATCCAATTGACTTAGATCCATCCCAAAGTTAAACCTGTTAGCCTTTGGCAGAACATGTCTAATTCCTACCGTAAATGGTAACGGTTGTTTAAAGCCCATCCTCAATTGCTTATGGGTCGGCTTAACCAAGCTTTGAGGCTTCTTAACTTTACTCAAATCCACCTGCTTGGGAGTAATCACATTCTATTTTTTATTAGGATTACCATTACTTCTCCCTTGCAGTCGAACATTCCGCCTCCTCCGTGGAGGGACCTGAATCCAAGGTCCCAACTGATCATCATCTTCACGTGAATTAACTTCCATTTCCAAGTGACTAGCACTTTTATCATGTTGTGCTTCCTCATTCCTTCCTATTTCACTGGTTCTGATCTGCTTCAGCTGACTACCACCTTCAGTTTTGATAATAAGAGGATTAGCCCTCTTCCATTGCACCTAATCCACTCTCCCAATACCACCCGAAATTATCCTCCACCAATCCTCCCTGTTTCACCTGATTACCAACATTCCTGTTTAAAGTTTCACATGGCCTGACAGTCTTTAATGGGCATTGTTCTTTTTGATATCCAATTCTACCACATCCATAGCACATGAGTTCAATGCTCTCATACTCCACTTTATGGTAGGATCTATCATTCAATCCATTCACCCAGATTCCTGCCTGCAATTTGTTAGCCAAATTCACCCGGACACACACCCGGGCATACTCCCTTCTTCCCCAATTTCCAGTCAACCATCAACCCATAGTGGAATACCAATCTTCGAAGCAATTCAAGCAATATTACAGCCATCCCAGTACTTCAGCGGGAGATTAGGCAATCTTATCCATACCGGGGATGACAACCCTTCCTGGATGCCGGTGAGAAACTAGACATCCACCGAGGAGAAACTAGGCATCCACCTGTCTTGCCCAACCACGTTTCCACCAATGAACTAGGGACCTCCACATAGAACGGCATCCCTCACTTCCATAGAGGAAAAAATACAAATGAAACAATCAAAACCCATGGTGGTTAGCTGGAACTCACCGAACCTTCCCCCACTGACGTTGCAGTTCTGACTTCAACAAGAAGTAGGAAGCTCTCCTTCCCAAGATTCTTCCCACAACGGCCCGTTCGAGCATTGCCATATTCGCCTTAACGATCTCCAGATTGAGATCATTAGAAACTCCATCCATAGAGATATCATTAATCTCCTCAGGGTGCAGGATCGAAATGTGTTCCGGCTTCCTCCACGGGTTTCTAGCACTGGCCGAGAATGAAATTCCTTCAGTCACTTTCTTTCCCTGATTCTCCCCGCTATTTACGCTTGACTAGACTGCATCCACATTTTTGCAAACACCTTGCGTGCTACCGAATGGTTTGCTCAAACGAGAAGAGCTGGATCCATCTCCGTTCACACCTGCAACAACTTCTACAGCAATCTCCATCTCTGATGCCGCTTGAAATTCATCCATAGCTACAATATTCAGCACATTATTACTCGGATCAGCTAGAACCGAACTTACCTCCTTCAAACAAGTTCGTTATCACATAGCTGCCTCCACATCAAAGATCTCCTCCATGTCTTCCCTATAATCCACGGTAGGAGCTATCTCTTCCACCTCCAAGGACGAATCCACCACATCAAGCGTCGGGTTGAGTATCATACTCATCGTCAACTTCAAATTCAGCTCCATAGCCAACTTTGGAGGAATTCAGTGGAGAATCCTCCAATTTTGCCCCGTTAGATCTACTCTGACCGGAACTCCACTTCATGATTTACTGCACCCCTTTGGGATCCAGACTTCTCGGCTTAACCTCCGATCGACCTTCCACCGATCCCTCTAATCCTGATTTAACTACATCCCGAGCTTTTCCTTTTGACATAACCGTCCGGGTTTACAAGGAGATCCAAATCCCGATCGCTCTCCCAGCTTCTTCAAACCTCCAGATCCAACTCCCGATCGTCTTCTCTCGTCGCCTCCAGCATCTCCGTCACCACCGCCATCGCTTGAGCGGGGGAAGACCTTCGGCCACCCCCCGCCATACCTATAGCTTCTCTCACTACAAATCGCCAAGAGAGAGAAAAAATTAGGTAGAAATGATGCGCTCGAAGAGCGAGAGAGAGAGAGAGAGAGAGAGAGAGCGAGAGATAGAGAGAGAGTAAGAGAGCAAAAGAGAGAGAGAGAGAGAGAGTAAGAGAAATCAAGAGAGAG